TGTGGTATTGAACCTTGTGGTAAAATTTCATAGAGATCCATTCACTTAAACTAAAGTTAGAGTGCGAAAACCAATGTGTCTTCGGACGACGCCGGACGACGACGACGACGACGACGACGCCAACGTCATACCAATATACGACCACAAAAAATTTTTTGCGGTCGTATAAAAACATGTTTGTTGGATGGATTTAAAATTAATACAAAATAAAATTAGGAAACAAGGCACACTTAGGATGATTGTGATAACAGTTGTGTAGGCATGGTAGGAGAAGACTGAAAAAAATTAAAATACTTTCATAAAAAAAAAATTTCAACAGTAGTACATTTTATGAAATACTTCCAGAAGCCAAATTGGCTCTTACTGATACCTGCTTATAAATACATGTATATAGATAACAGCACAAGTTATAAAAGAGAAGGAACATAAAAGTTAAACAGTAGTTGTTGACTGAGTTCCTGTGAAATAGTGTTTATATTTTTTTGTTTCCAACTATAATAAATTATATAACCAAGCAAAATATTTAAGAATAAAATGCTCCGCAGGGCGCAGCTTGATACGACCGCAGAGGTCGAACCCTGAACAGTTGGGGGAAGTATGGACACAACATTCAAGCTTGATACAGCTTTGCATTTGGATTGTGATTAAATATTTGACACAGCATAGGTTTCTAACACAGATTGAATGTGGTCTAAGAACTTAAAAATTTTAAATTGGACATTCACCTATTATGGTCCAATATCCAAAATCTAAATACATGGTTAGATTCAGCATATCAAAGAACCCCAAGAATTCAATTTTTGATGAAATCAAACAAAGTTTAATTTCGGACCCTTTTGACCTCAATGTGGACAAAGTTGATAACGGGGCCCAAAAATCAAAAATCTAAATACATGGTTAGATTCAGCATATCAAATACCCCATATGTTCAATTTTTGTTGAAATCAAACAAAGTTTAATTTTGGACCCCGATTTGGACCAACTTGAAAACTGGGCCCATAATCAAAAATCTAAATACATGTTTAGATTCAGCATATCAAAGAACCCTAAGAATTCAATTTTTGTTAAAATCAAACTAAGTTTAATTTTGGACCCTTTGGACCTTAATGTAGACCAATTTGAAAACGGAACCAAAAATTAAGAATCTAAATACACGGTTAGATTCGGCATATCAAAGAACCCCAATAATTCAATTTTTGATGAAATCAAACAAAGTTTAATTTTGGACCCTTTTGACCTCAATGTGGACAAAGTTGATAACGGGGCCCAAAAATCAAAAATCTAAATACATGGTTAGATTCAGCATATCAAAGAACCCCATATATTCAATTTTTGTTGAAATCAAACAAAGTTTAATTTTGGACCCCGATTTGGACCAACTTGAAAACTGGGCCCATAATCAAAAATCTAAATACATGTTTAGATTCAGCATATCAAAGAACCCTAAGAATTCAATTTTTGTTAAAATCAAACTAAGTTTAATTTTGGACCCTTTGGACCTTAATGTAGACCAATTTGAAAACGGAACCAAAATTTAAGAATCTAAATACACAGTTAGATTCGGCATATCAAAGAACCCCAATAATTCAATTTTTGATGAAATCAAACAAAGTTTAATTTTGGACCCTTTGGACCTCAATGTGGACCAATTTAAAAACGGGGCCCAAAATCCAAAAACTAAATACACGGTTATATTCAGCATATTAAAGAACCCCATGAAATCAAGAATAAAACCCCATTGAAATTGGTCAAGAAATAAGCAATTTATAGGAAGTATCTTCTTTTGCACAATCCTGTGCTATTAAATATTTCTTGCTATTGCGCAATACTGTACAATTGACAATTTCTTGCTATTGCGCAATATTGTGCTATTGGATATTTCTTGCTATTGCGCAATACTGTGCAATTGAAGATTTCTTGCTATTGCGCAATACTGTGCAATTGAAGATTTCTTGCTATTGTGCAATACTGTGCAATTGAAAATTTCTTGCTATTGCACAATACTTATTATATAATAATTTACACATCCTGTTTGGTGTGTATCTCCTACCATATCATTATTATTTGATTTTAAATATAAATCAGAAATAACCAACTTAAAATGGAAAATTTTAAAAGAAACAAAAAAGGAAAAAAGAAAAAAAAGGAAAAAAAAATAAATCCCCCCCCAAAATTTTTTGAACCCTCATTATGATTCATCACCCCCAAACTCAATCCCAGCCTTCCCTTTGTGGTATGGTACCTTGCAGTACAATTTCAGAGAGATCCATACACTTGAACACAAGTTATTGTCTGGAAACTAGAAAAAAATGTGTTTTTTGGCCCCTTATTCCTAAACGTTTAGGGCAATTACCCCCAAACTCAAACCCAGCTTTCCCTTTGTGATATGGAACCTTGTAGTACAATTTCAGAAAGATCCATACACTTACACACAAGTTATTGTCATGAAACTAGAAAAATGCTTGTTTTTTGCCCCTTTTTTGGCCCCCAATTCCTAAAATTTGGAGGCAATTACCCCCAAAATCAATCCCAGCATTCCTTTAGTGATATGGAACCTTGTGGTACAATGTCAGAGAGATCCATACACTAACACACAAGTTATGTCTGGAAGTTACAAAAATGCTTATTTTTGGCCCCTTTTTGGCCCCTAATTCCTTTACTGTTATTACCATAACCCCCAAAATCAATCCCAACCTTCCTTTTGTGGTATTGAACCTTGTGGTAAAATTTCATAAAGATCCATTCACTTAAACTAAAGTTAGAGTGCGAAAACCAATGTGTCTTCGGACGACGCCGGACGACGACGACGCCAACGTCATACCAATATACGACCACAAAAATTTGTTTGCGGTCGTATAAAAACAAGGTTAGGGACAAAGAGACAAGACAGGCGGAAACTACATAATAGAAAGCTTCTGTATACAACCAGGTTTATAACCTCTAAAATATCAAGCATTCTACAAATAGTTAACGCTAGACAAGCATACCGTCTCGCTCACATTCTGTGACTGGTAATAAGCATTGTGTATAAGTTTCATTACATTTGGTTGAGGCAAACTAGTTAGAGACGGAAACGAAAAATTCTGCAATTTTTCCATTTGTAAAGGGGCATAACTCTAGAATGGTTAAAGTGATACCAACAAAATTCGAACTTAATCTGTATTTGGTGGTAATAAGCATTGTGTACAAGTTTCATAACATTTGGTTGAGGCAAACTTAAGTTAGAGAACGGAAACCAACTATGGGACGTACGTACAAGGTTAAACTTAATGCCCGCTCCGCTACGGTGGGGCATAAAAATTATATGGAGGGTTGGTTGTGAAAGCATTTTTTAATCATGCATGTCAAATTGTAATTGACTTTAATTTTCCAACTATGAACTTCCATCTCTATGTAGCAGCAGTCCAACAGCACCTAAAAGATTTCATATCTCTGCGATTTAAAAGAACTTGCATTTCCTATCATTCCTGCTTTTCTCTCTTGAAACCACAAATAACACCAATGTAATCATGATTGGTTGAAATTAATTATTTATAACTGATAGAGTGGGGTACTCATTTTCGCCATAATTTTCCATGTTTTCTGCAGTTTATGTTCAGACCTTTAAGTTTTTGAAGTATACTGATATTTCTATATGAAAATAACACCAAAAGCAAAATATTCTTAGCTTGAAAACGTGTTTCTCTGAAAAGTTAGATTAAAGGCTATTTGAAATTTCCTGATGTTTTGTCATAGGGGGACACATATTCACCGTTTTTACACATCTATTTAAAACCAAATAACTGCAGCTTTAAACAATATTTATCAAATCAAATTCATTTCAAAGGTGTAAAGAACTGAAATTTAGGGCAATCAGTCAAAGAATTACATAGAAATACTTCTTTGAAATCTTTTTTTTTCATTCAGGAAATTGACCGAAAATCGTTGTCCGTTTTTCGGTCCTTTGTGGCACTTGCCGAAATTTTTTCTAAGTTTAGAAAATAATCATATTTCTTATAAAAAAATTATTTACCGGCATATTTCTTCCATTTCAGCAATCCTTTGAAGTTTCTACACCTTAAAATCATAAAACGGCGAAATTGTGTCCACGGCGAATATGTGTGCCCCACTCTACTTTCCCCTGTGATAAAAATTCTTTCTCCTCTCGGAGACAACATACACAATTTATCTTGTTCAAACACACAGGTGAAGTACAACACGAATAAGAGTATGTCCCTAAGAGTTTTTTTTTAATTTAAAAATTCTATGCAGTTTCATTTAGCAACACTCATCTTATCCTTATGAACAAGTTACTTCCCTTTATTGCCATGTTGGAGGTCTAAGTGCACTATTTCTTTCATAAATCAGCCGAACATAACTTGTTATATGGACCACTAGACTTTAGAAAATTTTACTGAAGAATTTTTATTTCTCTAGTCATGCTGGTCTCATCCCTACGATCTAGAAACTGAAAATATTTTCACTTATTTGTACCATATTTTAATTTGGTTAGTAAATCAACCATTTACCCCCTTCAAAATGGGGACCAAGGGAAATAACATGAACTGAAATTATGTCTCATCAAAACCTATCTATAGAGAAGCTATAATGATACCGAGCAAGCAAGTTATACTGAGAACAGATATGAAGAAAAGAGACATGGAATATATGACAATGAGACAGCAACATAATCATGCTGTATATCATATGTGTTTTTCGTACATAAATCAGGCTGTTAGTTTTCTTGTTTGACATTTGTCATTTTGGGGCCTTTTATAGCTGGCTATGCTGAATGGGTTTTGCTCATTGATGAAGACCGATCGGTGACCCATAGTTGTTAATCTGGAGAGTTGTCTCATTGGCATTGATACCACATCATCTCATTTTTATATAATAATAACGCCATAAAACATAATCAAAGTGCTTGTAAGCACAGAAGGGTAAAGATTGCCTTTGGGCCAGGTGAGCTAAAGACTGAAAATAAAACAGGTCAAAAGGTTAATATAAACACAACTACAATATGGTGTTTGTGAAAACCTAAAGATTTTATTATCACAATGTCCAGGCTTTAACATAGCAGAATAAGCATTTGACTAATGAATGATTCTGTGTTGAATTGGGTTCTTTTTTTTCATAATTAGTATCGTATTTACATAATCATTTCTTGAAACTTGGAATAACGTGAATGGAATAAAGCCTCTAGTGTTTTAGTATTTAACAATGACAAGTTTCACAATTCAGCACAGTACTTAACAATGACAATCATAAATCAAGAGTTTAAAGTTGAAAGTTCATCATCAACAAGAATGATCAATAAATAATAATCTTCTTCTTTCATTTGTACAAAATCTTCACAGGTATTTCACATACACCAATCTTCTCTCCAGCACACATACTCAGTTTATCACAGTTTATGGTTGTTTCCTTCGGAAGGAACAGCCTGAAAAAACAAAACATTTTGTTAAATCAGAAAATAATATGGAGAAAAATAATCTTATTTAATACAGATCCTATGTCCAAGCTTTGATTACGAGGATCTGAAAACAATCAGTTTTTTGTTACTCTTTAAAGACCTTCAGGATTCTTTGGTTTCGTTGAATTAATACACATACACCTTAAAAAATTTGAGGGCTGAAATTTTATTGGCTGATGTTATAATTACCAGGACATTATAATGTAAAACAGACATGGGTCTACTGCTATGATCTACCAGTATACAAGTGAATCAGTACACGTTGGGTAAGGTTTGTCTTCACAGCAAATCAGACCCGAAAGATAGTCATCATATTCACATGAACAGGAACTTTGTATTAAGGAACCATATAGGGGAACTGAAAATGTCATGTGCAATTCCAGGAAAATTTATATATATATTTATCTATATGCACATAAATAGAATCTGCAGCTCGACAAACTGTAAAGCATTTTGGCTCGCTGGCCACCCTCAGATGATATTTTATGATATAAATCCACATAAAACACAATAACTTATATGTACATGACCTTCAACAATAGGGAAGACATAAACAACCTTTGTTAGCTGTATAATCTGTTCACTTTCTGTATTTATCACAAATTAGACACATCTTTAGAATATAGTGCATCAAGAAGGCATAAATATTTCAGTCATTCAAAAGTATTATTTAATCAGTAACAAAGAAATTAAAGCAGCCATTTGTATCATTTTGGATTTATTTATTACAAGTCAGTGTATGCAATTGTACCTACATATAAGTTTGTATATTGGTGTTTTTATTTCCTCAATGCCAGCAAGTTTTATCCTAATGCTATGAAAATATACAAGTGAATCAGTACATGTTGGGTAAGGTTTGTCTTCACAGCAAATCAGACCCGAAAGATAGTCATCATATTCACATGAACAGGAGCTTTGTTATTAGGAACCTGTCTAGGGGAATTAAAAATGTAATGAACAAATCCAAGAAAATTGATATCTTTTTTAAATGCAAATAGATCTTAAAATATTAGAAACTTGACACAATGTGAAGACTCACTCTCAAAAAAGATTCACAAGGTGACTCTCGGCTGATATTTAATAATATAATGTGAAGAAAACACATTAGCTTACATGTATATGGCCTGCCACTACAGGAGAGACATGTAAATATGTAAGTATTCTTTGTTAACTTTACAGTCCCTAGATTCTGTTTTAATCATAAACTAGACACATTTTCTGATGTAGACTTATTTATGAAGTGCAAAGAGCATAAATATTTCAATCAAACAAAATTATCTTTTCAGTAAGTTACAAAGAAAGTGAAGAATCTATTTGCATAATTTCCCACAACATTTACTACAAGTCAGTCTAGGAGCATTAGTAAATTCCTGAAAGCTGGTATCATACAACATCTTATTTTGATATTGGTTTGACCATTTTCTTCCATGCTAGCTACATGTAGTATGTTTTTAAAATTTCACCTCATGCAAAACAACAATACACAGATATAATCCTAATGCTACATGTATGAACATATACAAGTGAATCAGTACACGTTGGGTAAGGTTTGTCTTCACAGCAAATCAGACCCGAAAGATAGTCATCATATTCACATAAACAGTCACATTGTTACTAGGAGATGGTACAGGAGTATTAAAAATATCATGTGCAATTCCAAAAAAATTTATATATATATCTTTTTATAGGCATGTACGTAGATCTTAAAATATCACAAAGAAAATAAATTTGCATGTTGGTATAAACTTTTTTTTCTGACAATGATGGCTAGTACATATAAAATAAGAAGATGTGGTATGATTGCCAATGAGACAACTCTCCACAAGAGACCAAATGAAAACTAACAACTATAGGTCACCGTACGACCTTCAACAATGAGTTAAACCCATACAGCATAGTCAGCTATAAAAGGCCCCGAAATAACAAATGTAAAACAAACATTAAACAGATGTTGGCCAAACGTACTATACAAGTGAATCAGTACACGTTGGGTAAGGTTGTCTTCACAGCAAATCAGACCCGAAAGATAGTCATCATATTCACTTGAACAGTAACTTTGTATTTATATATATTTAGGAACCTATATAGTGGAATTAAAAATGTCAGTCTTACAAAAGTATCTTTAAGTCAGTTACAAAGAAAATGAGGCAGCTATATGCCTCATAATAAACATTATTTACAGTACTACATGTATAAGTGTATTCAATTGCACATACAGTGTAAGCTGGTATATTGGTGTGTTTTTATTTCAAGTTCATTTAAACATGTTGGAAAATTCAAAGTACAAATGTACATGTATCTGCATACAGGAAGTAACTAACTGACAGATCTGAAAAGTGCCGACACTTTACAATTCATTCATGTGAATAAACTGACTAATAGGCATCATACTGTTCTACAGTTTCTGACAAAGTGCATAACGAAAATATTTGTTGGACCAACAAACAAATGATTGCATTACAGCATGTTAATATTATAATACAGACATGATCCTACTGCTAAAAACATATTTACAAGTGAATCAGTACATGTTGGGTAAGGTTTGTCTTCACAGCAAACCAGACCCGAAAGATAGTCATCATATTCACATGAACAGTAACTTTGTAGGGGGGAATTGAAAATATGCAATTCCAGAATAATTGAATGATAATCCTCCCTCCCCCCATAAAAGTCAAACAAGTATGTGATTTTTATCAGTTGATAATTTAATATTGGTTTTGAACTAGCTTTCAGTATTTGCTAGTACTCTTGGATCAGTACTTTGTATAGATTTGATGAGTCGAGCCCTTCACAAGAAGTTGTTTTGGTTTATTCTTATGTTGTGCCGTTACACCACTGTCCCATCAATCCTAAATATACCACTCAATGGTTTTATATGCAGAAAGAGTAAATGAGTAACATTTTTTGCCACTCAGCCTATGACCCAACCTGTCCAAACAGTTTTTTCGAGAAAAAATAGTTTCGATATATAAAGACTGCATTTCTTTTCATACCATAAATCATTTTTCTTGACCTACACAAGTAATATTCTATATTTTCTAAAATTTCTTTTTAAAGCAATCACACAAGACTAATTGTTCAAAAACATGGGTTAGATAAAAATTGGGTTATTTGCAGGGAAAAATTACTTTTCTTGTTAACATTTAACTATTCACTTGTCATAGACTGATCCTTAAAACTTTGGAACAGTCAGTGCTATTAAGAATATTCCATATAAACAGATGTAATAGGGTAAGAAAAGTCAACCAGTATATGTGTCCATAGAACAAAATGCTTGCACTATCACATTAGTGAACCCCCTAATATGTTTCTTTTTTTTATTTTTCACATCATAATGAACAAATGTTACAAGTTGATGTGACCTAAAATTTCATTGTTACATGTACAACATGATGTAACTACCATAAACCATAACTTTTAACTTGATAGGGGAGTTTCAGGACAAAAAAAATAAGAGTCAAATCAAAAAGTGACTCCTAACTAGAACATTGCAAATCTGCACATATACGTATATATACACGACATGTATGTAGAGTCATAAATACATGTACCATATTAAGATGTGTACAGACAGACAAGTGAATCAGTACACGTTGGGTATGTTTGTCTTCACAAAATTCTGACCCGAAAGATTTGTCATCATTTTCACTTGCTGTTCCTAAAGGGCTTTTAATATCATTTCAAATTAACATAAAAAGTTGCAATGATCATGATAATTGAAACAAACTGCAATTAAATTGAAATACAATGTAAAGTATGCGTCAATTAAGATTTAGGGGCCACCAACACCCTTTGAAAGTTTGATGACCACGTAATGTGTCATACTCCAAAAATTACATTAATTTCAAATTTTTAGGACCTTTAGATTCAATATCAGAAGTTGAGAACAAGAAATATTTTTGGGGGTGTGAAGATAAATTAAAATGATCTGAAAAAACATTTTAATCTGTCTATATTTAAGTAATTTAAGAATCTTGAGTGATCAAATTGCATACCCCATGCCCCACCTATTAAGCAAAAAATTTTGGTCTAATTTTAGTTACTACTATGACATTTATTAACTTGAATTTAGATACATATGGCCATATATGTTGCGGTAAGGTCACCATCCCAATATTAAGTATTTGAATGAACACCTGGAACCAAGATGACTAACAGACAGGTGAAAACCTATATCTTTATACCTCTGGGGTACAATTAATGTTGAAAACTACAAAACTACAAACAATTTAAGCTTTTAGTTAACTCTAGCTAAATACATACATTTTGTAGTATGTGAATAAGGTTTCAGATTTTTTTTTTATCTTGGGTATGTGGGAACATCCGCTATTTAAGTCCGAGATGACCAGAAAAACTTAGGGGGCACGTATTTTGAGGCATAAAAGATAGGTTAGGCAAAGAATCCCACCACAAATTTCATTTTTATTTTGGCCATATGTATTTGGGTTTAAAATACTGTTGATGTTGGAAAGTGAAGTAACTTAAATTTAATATACAAAAGTGGCTCCAATATGTTATCCTAATTGTGACAATTTTGAGCAGTAGTAGGAAGAAGTTCTGCTGCCACATTTAATGTCATCCTCAGTGATTAACCTTGGCATACGACTCTTACCTTCTGTCAACCTGGCTTTACCGCCTGTAGGCTGGCACAAGACTGTTGAACATCCGACACACAATACTACTGTCTGTGCATGGCTGAAAACTGTGGTGATTTTATAACACCCTGAAAGAAAACTTTACTTTTAATGAACTTCTCTATGAAGCTTTGTAATTATAGAGTTATGCACAGTATTTGAAGTGTTCTTATAAATTACTTAATAGTTTATTTGAAGTGTTCTTATAAAACAGTCATAAATAAAATGCTCCGCTGGGCGCAGCTTGATACGACCGCAGAGGTCAAACCCTGAACAGTTGGGGCAAGTATGGACACAACATTCAAGCTTGGTACAGCACTGAATTTGGATTGTGATTAAATATTTGACACAGCACAGGTTTCTGACACAGAATGAATGTGGTCTAAGAACTTAAAAAATTTTAATTTACCTATTCAAACCATATCATTATTATTTGCTTTTATATATAAATCAGAAATAACCAATTTAAAATGGAAAATTTTAAAGAAAAAAAAATCCCCCCCCCAAATTTTTTGAACCCCCTTATGATTCATCACCCCCAAACTCAATCCCAGCCTTCCCTTTGTGGTATGGTACCTGCAGTACAATTTCAGAGAGATCCATACACTTGAACACAAGTTTATTGTCTGGAAACTAGAAAAATGCTTGTTTTTTTTGCCCCTTTTTGGCCCCAAATTCCTAAACGTTTAGGGCAATTACCCCCAAACTCAAACCCAGCTTTCCCTTTGTGATATGGAATATTGTAGTACAATTTCATAAAGATCCATACACTTACACACAAGTTATTGTCCTGAAACTAGAAAAATGCTTGTATTTTTTTTTTGGCCCCTAATTCCTAAAATTTTTAAGCAATTACCCCAAAAATCAATCCCAGCCTTCCCTTTGTGGTATGGTACCTTGCAGTACAATTTCAGAGAGATCCATACACTTGAACACAAGTTATTGTCTGGAAACTAGAAAAATGCTTATTTTTGGCCCCTTATTCCTAAACGTTTTGGGCAATTACCCCCAAACTCAATTCCAGCTTTCCCTTTGTGATATGGAACCTTGTAGTACAATTTCCGAAAGATCCATACACTTACACACAATTTATTGTCATGAAACTAGAAAAATGCTTGTTTTTTTCCCCTTTTTTGGCCCCTAATTCCTAATATTTTGAGGCAATTACCCCCCAAAATCAATCCCAGCATTCCCTGTGTGATATGGAACCTTGTGGTACAATGTCAGAGAGATCCATACACTAACACACAAGTTATGTCTGGAAGTTACAAAAATGCTTATTTTTGGCCCCTAATTCCCTAACTGTTGGTACCATAACCCCCAAAATCAATCCCAACCTTCCTTTTGTGGTATTGAACCTTATGGTAAAATTTCATAGAGATCCATTCACTTAAACTAAAGTTAGAGTGCGAAAACCAATGTGTCTTCTGACAACACCGACGACACCAACGTCATACCAATACACATAAAAATTTGATAACAGAACATTATAATTTTTATTACAACACGACTGTAACAGACTAGTAAACACAATCCTTACATATGAACATTGTTTATGATAAAAACCACTTTCATTAATTTTTTCAAGTCATATTTTCCACATTTGCTAATCAATTAAATGTTTACAATAATGTCCTCTTAAAGAATATATAAAAGAATATATATTAATATTGGCAAAGAGTAATATTTGGAAGAAAAGTTGCACGAGTTCCTTCTGGGAACGTTACATGTATATGTATTGCTTTATTTTTTATTCAATCCACAAATATATATTGCATTTATATGAAGTAAAAAATTTTCAGTATAAAAACCTATGCAATACTGTTGAAAAATTATTCTTTAAACTTAAAATATTACCTGGACATTTAACATCCATAAAATAACTGTTGGGACTCTGCACCAATCTTTTTAGTTTGCATTTCTGTTTCTCTTCCTCCAAAGAGGGGTGAAGGAGATCTTTTGCCAGCTGAAAGAAATCACAATTGCATCAATATAGGAAAGTACAAAATGAACATCATTGTTTGCAAATCAATTTAAATAAACTGAGTTAACAGTTTGCTTGTATGTTGTGTTGTTACATGGCTGTCCTGGGATTGGGGAGGTTCGGCCCATGCAACATTTTTTATGTACCTGTTCAAAATTGAGCCTGTTATAGACGACTTTCAAATTTGTGCACTTTCCTGTAAATTTCCCATGTCATAATGCTTATTAGCTGCGGAACCGTAGCTCTTATGTCATGTTATTTTTTTACTATTTGTGGACCATAGACCTACAGATTTTTCCTATTTCAAAACGTTCGGAATTGCGACCCAGGTTCAGGTCGCATTATTTCCCTAAAATTTATTGTTTATTGTTAATGCATAGCTTGTCAATATATATAGTTCGTTTCGTTAGTTATTTTTCTAGGATATGACGTACCTATTTATGTTTGAATATTCATTTCTTTGACACTATTATCTAATTATTTCCATTTGTATACATTCTTCGCCTACATGTATTTTGTTCAGCCATATAGAATCTCGTCGTGACGTCACGAAAAACAAGAAAGATAACTCTGATATCCTTAAAAAATTTGACGTCACAATTTAAAAGGTACTGTTGCTTGACGTCAGAAGGTTATTCTGAGCAGATCCAAGGTCATTCGAAGATAAAATTCAGCTAAATACCAAAAGTGTCAATACGTTTGTTTTTTGACAAATTTTGTGAAAGTAATTGTCACTGTTTTTAAAAGCGGACTATATACAGTATGGAATTTGCTTTTGTTGAAACTTGAATGGTGACCAATAATTGCTTATCCTCCTATAATGGGTTTTATGTGCTATTTAGAATGCATTGTGGTCACAATTTTCATTGAAAAAGCATGTATAGTACGAATTCATGTGACGTACGAAAACATATGATCTAAGGATACATCCAGTTAATTTGAAATCTGGTGGATAGTTGATTGATTCAGACTAATTGGCAATCACACCACATCTCCTTATTCTTATATTCTTGGATGCCTTTCAGTGTACTTGTGCCGTCAGACCCGAGTTGACCTTATTGATGGTCCGAGTTGACATTAGTCGGCCCGAGTTGTCCCATAATATATTCCATGTATACATACATTCGATTATCACAGAGTCAGGGTTTAAATGGCTCGTTTCTAAATGTCTTAGAATTTATCATATTCAATTAAACATCTACAACTTAAATCGAATGATCTGGTATTATTCAAACAAAAAATACGAAAATAAATGTCGGGCACGTATTCATGCTCAGTGTCCCCACGTGGACCTAACTATTTCTATGAAAAAGGCTTCTTACGACATCGAACTTCGGTTAATAATAGGAATCTTCCCTGTTTAACCGCTTGAGACGAAAAACCTTCAACAATTGTGTTGTCATTTAGACCTTCCAGCAATATGTACACAAATAGATATGCAATACCGATTTGTAAACATCGTCGCTTAGCCTTCATTTTCATTAGTTTTCTCTTAATTCTTCACATATTGTGCAATATTAGAACAAGGAAAAATATTCAAGAATGTAATATAAGTAAAATTTTTGGAATAGGGTCCGATATGTATGAAAAAATAGAAATCTTGTTCACTTACAGGCATTTTACAATGACTCCGTTAGCAGTCTTGTTGAAAAAGAACGAGAAGGGGCTTACACATTTTATATCACGGGTTACATTGCACAACCAAAGGCAATGCCGTAAAGTTTCGAATCTATAAATATTACTTATGTAAATTATTTGGACTTTGTTTTTAAATTTGGCATATAATTTATTATTTCATAACCTTTAACGTATAAAAATCAGTATGCTTCTGTGTGCTTCTTATCAACCCGAGATCATGGATTTTTGCAACAAGGGAAATAACTTATATATTTCATTAAAAAATATGGCGCGAACGTATATTTGTTCCGCCTAACAGAAGTACCCCTGGAAACTTTGTTATAAACAATGTCATAATATACACTTTATTCCGTAAGGAACAAATACTGTAGTATTTGTTCCAATGGAAATAATATTACAGAATATTTCTTCCACTTGCAACTTATATTATGAAGGACCTTCTATTTCGTGACATCTTGTGGTGCAATACTCATTATACTAAAAAATAACGGTGTTTCGGCATTCTTGCTTTTATTGACTTAGTTTTATTATAACTGTTCTTTCCTTTTATATCATAAGAGACATATATACACAGATATCAAATATTCAATTTTGAACTTTTAATAATCATGTTCTTGACGAATTCCAAACATTTAGAAATTGTTCAAATTAACTTTCACCGACCACAAACCGGGTACGTACGTAAAGTTACCACTATGACATTATTATTACGGTTAGTAATTGGGTCATTTTCAAATCATTTTAAAAAAATGTCGAATTTTCAGTACACCCATGCTAATTATTTTTTATTTCTAATGGTAAATGCAGTTGTAAGTGTTTCAATGAAAGTTTGTAGAATTTATGAGTCAGAACATTAATAATAAACACGAAAGTTTAGATCTATTTTGATATGATTAAAATATATTTAAGTCCGATTTTTGCGTAATTTTTGTCCGTACAGTGTCAGAGTAACACATTTCAAATGATGTTTTTCCTATTTTCTGATCGCCTTGATATCTGTAAAAGGGACTTTTTTAGAACGTTAATAATAACTCTAAGGAAAAATCGTAGCTTCTTTATTATTATATGTAACATTTTTTCTACAAACTAAATTCAATCAGCGTACATGAAGTTCATTTCCATCCTGTTACCGCTACTTAGATCAGCCGTTAAATTGTTCTTCCTATGAATATTGAACAAGTCCGTGTTGAATTCAAAAGCGCAAGGTAACCTAAACATTTAACACAGCACGTTTCTTGTATAACAGTGTAGACAAAAGAAATTTCAAGACATTTAGTGAAAAAAAATAGTGGGTACTTTTTTTGTCATGTCTATGCTGTTACCAACATATTGATTAATTACACCAGTATTATACTTGTAAAAAGTGCAATAATGTGTTGGAAACCAAAATCACAACAGAAAAAACATTTTCACTTCATCAAAGGGAGTAGTTATTTCACAACAGCATTCAAAAATGAAGAAATTTGTCTATCCTGTTATGTCTATCCTGTTACTATGGTTGCTATGGTTACAGTAACAGGATAGACAATAGTAGACAGAAACGTCTTTAAAAAGTTTATAATAATATATAGTTGCACACATAATGAAATGTTTCGTTGTTTGAACTCATCTAAAGGTTATAACGTCTTAATCTTCTCAATTTAGCATTTGCAGGTGAAATACTGCTATCGGTAACAGGATAGACAAAAAGGTAACAGGATAGAACTTAATACAGTGAAATATCATTAAATTACATTCTTGTTACCAATAAAATAAAGACAAAGGTAAACCAACATGCGAGGGATTTACTTGATGTTTGGTTTATTTGAAAGAGAGAAAAAATGCTGAACATTATGAATTGCTATCTTAGACTTGCATTACTGGTGGTTATTTTTATAACCTTTGAAAACCAATTTTTAGAGGCATTTTTCAGTACAACATGGAAAATTGACCAAAAAACTATTATTTCACAGAACGAATATAAATAGAAGTTTTTACTCTTGAAAACCATCTTATTGGCTACGAAAAACAAGCTTAAAATTTTATCGAAACCCTTTCTAATTAACCCGAAATTTCTTTTGAACATGGTAACAGGAGAGACAAAATATTGCACCATCTATCAAAAAATGTTTCAATATATTCCTGTATGACATTATCAAGATTGCATCTTTGTATATGTTGTTCTAGAAGTACTGTTTATTTTGATTTGCTTATGACGAGGGTTGTTTGAATAAGTAACCTAAAATCAATTTCAAAATTTCAAAATTCGACATTTTTTGAAAATGACCCAATTAATTGTGATCCTATGACAGATTTATATGAATCCCCTTCTTTAAAGAGACCACAACCGGACTCCCAGTTAAAATCAAGTCTTAATGAACAATCCACATTTTTCTTATTATACCTGAGGGTGTGGATGGGGTTTACAGAACATCATGAGAATAATGGGAAAAAAAATAAAGAATAGAGGAAAATGGACACCCCCCTCCCCAAAGAAAAATAAAGAAAAAGAAATAATGGGCTGCTAAAATATAAAGCATAACTGCAAAAATTAAAGAATTGGGTAAAAATATACTGATTACAGAAAAGAACAATGTCCAGAATACACTGAGTTATCAAGTAATTACAGAATAGCCATTATCATGACTATTTTTAAAGATAAAACATAATGAGCAAACAAATTAAATCGATTGATTGTTGGTTGCTTAACTTCCAGTGGCAAATATTTCATACATGTTCAGGACGAGAACAAGTTAACAATAAATACAATAGGTAGGTCCGGTTATAGAGGCCATCCAGGATGAAGATCGGGAAAATTTGGACTGCCACAGAAAAAAGAGGGTATATTGGATAGAGACAGAATTTTTTTTTGCCTTCTTAATTTGACCTGTTGACCCAATTTGTAATGCATTTCTGTAAGTCAATTTTTACTTATTTTATGTTATATCTCGTCTCACTATTTATAATATGTACCTAAGTATTTAGTATGACGATACATTTTCACTTATGTACTCGTACTCTGAACAACAAATTTATTTTGTAAAAACTGTTTACTTCCGTACTCCTAACAACAAAATTATTTTATTTGAATTTACCTGTGTACGATGTATTTACTGTAACGTCTATGTTATATAGGCACCTACGTTTGAATATTGTATTTATATTACGCCATAGATCAAACTTATTCGTTCAGTGTATGTTTACTTGTTTTTGTATAGATGTCTTTTTGAACGAGTTAAGCCATTTCAATTGATATTTTATAGTGTGTCTTTTTATGTTGTAATGTTACACTACTGTCTCAGGTTAGGGTGAAGGTTGGTGCCTGTTAAAAAGTTTTAACCCGCAGGATTTTTATGCATCTGTCCTAAGTCAGGAACCTGTTGTTCAGTGGTTGTCGTTTGTTGGTGTGGTTCATAGGTGTTTCTCGTTTCTCGTTTTTTACGTTGGTTTTCCTGTTTGAATTGTTTTACACTAGTCATTTTGGGGCCCTTTATAGCTTGCTGTTCGATGTGAGCCAAGGCTCCGTGTTGAAGGCCGTACTTTGACCTATAATTGTTAACTTTTTATACATTGTGACTTGGATGGAGAGTTGTCTCATTGGCACGCATACCACATCTTCTTATTTACATTGGTACATCCCGCACAACCAAACGGACGCTCCACTATGGCGAGGGTTTTACTGCCGGTAGGAGGAAGACCAGTGGTGACCATATTTCGATTCCCCAGTTACCCTTGGGGGAGCAAACAAAATAAAAGAATACAGAAATGAAGGACCCCATCCATACCCTCATACCTGCATGGGACATAATATATTGACAGTATACTATTCCCAGATTATTCCAAGTAGATTAATTTACTTCAAGGGCGTTCGACTGGTCACGTTTACTAAGTCAAACATTGATGAACATGACCGTTGTCCTTTTTAATGAAATTTTATACCGGCAACATTTATGAGTAATCGGATGACACGGACTTTTGCCTTGAAGTTCCGTCTTTATATCCCTCGGGGTGGGAGGGGGAGGGACTCCCTATATACAAGGTGATAGTTAGGACGTGCCACTGGAATAGGTCACATTTTCCAGCTTGAAAGTATGTGAATAGTAGGGGAAAACTATCAGAAATATATGATAAGGTCAATAAAGTTCCACTTACTTGCTATATGAAAAGCCCTGTAATTTTTTTCACGGCCAAAAGTCTCGCAGTAAGTAAACATTACATAAGGAATCTGAGCTCCGAGCAAAAGAGATATTTTTATCCACAAATTAATCTTCACTCTTTTGACACCTTGGTATTCCACTTTTCCAACACACCACACGAAACCCATCCAATACCGTAACGGGAAAAGGTTACAGTTGTACCTACGCAATAAATGAAAAGGTATACATTTTTAAAATCTAAATTATACTGAAAAGGGTGGGTAACAGAACCCTAGCGGCACCCCTATCAATTAAGAATTGGAGTCCACCACCCCCCCCCACCCCCCCCCCCCCCCACCCCCCCGAGATTTATTGCGGAAGACTGATTCTCAATGCAGGCATTTTGATAATACAAAAGAAGTATTTCACACCGATCTTTTTATTATATGTTCATAATATATCCCTAAAAGCTAACACGTTTAGGAATATCTCTTGGTCTTATAGGTCGACTAGTCAAGTTAATAAAAGGTCAAGTACGATTAAACTTTTGTTGTTCAATCATTGCATCTGGTATTTTGGGTTATAACATGTATTAATTCGTTTATTTTATTGTTTCAAGTAATACAACATTAGTTTGCTTGTTTTCTGCATTCGAATTTATATACAGGTTTGTTAACACAGTCTCGCCTTCTTGCCAAGCCGTTTATAACGTTGCTGCATGAAATCCTATATGAAGTAAAACCACCAATATTAGAGTGTAGGACGTCATGTGGTTTTATATCAACTGATCAAGTATATGATAAAATTGAGAATGGAAATGGGGAATATGTCAAAGAGACAACAACCCGACCAAAGAGTAGATAACAGCCGAAGGCCACCAATGGGTCTTCAACACAACGAGAAAATCCCGCACCCGGAGGTGGTCCTTAGCTGGCCCCTAAATAAAATTGTGTACTGGTTCAG